GCAGGTAGTCCTCAGCTTACAGACATTCATTTAGTGACCGTTCAAAATTACATCACTGAAAAAAGAGACTTATGACCCTTTTTTACACTTATTACCATTGCACCATGATCACATGATCAAAATTCAAATGCTTGGCATATTTATGATGGTTGCAGTGTCCTGGGTCATGTGATCATCTTTTGTGGCCTTCTGACAAGCAAAGTCAATGAGGAAGCCAGATTCACTTAACAACTGTGTTATTTGTTAACTCAAAAATATTTGTCTGGTCTTTTAGAGTTGCCAGCAGAAAGGGAGTGGGGAAAGTACTGCATTCTATGACTTCTAGGTGGCTGAAGCTTCTGGTGCACAAGATTATTACTGGAGAGCATGACTGATGACTCTTAGCTATGAATCTGTCCCATTGGAGAATATACATCCAGGGAGTGGTGGAAGACCGGGGTCAAGGGTGAAATGAATGATGTGTCTCAGAGTCGGCTACACCCAGGTAGCACTAGCATGTTCACTCCTAATAAATCTTCTTTAAACTCTGAGAGATGCGGCTAGAGACTCATGATTTGAATGGGGTGGATGCTGGAGCCCAGACATTAGTAACTTAATGATTATAAAGATTCACTTGCCACCAGTGTGGCAAGAAAGGTCGTAAAATGGGAAAAATTGGGAAAATGTCCCACTTAGCAACATAAATTTTGAGGTCATGTCGTAAGTCAAGGACTGCCTTATTGATATGTGATTTTGGGTAATGAAGGAAAAAGTTTATGAAGTACTGCTCTACACTATATTTTCAGTTATGGCTGACTCTCTATTTTCGCCATTTATCAAGGCAGGATGCATTTATTTCTATGGAATAGAAATCTGCTAAACAAATAATTCCCTCAACACTGTCCAACTATTTATTAAGTCTGCATTACTATTACTATTAATCTTCTCATTATTCCTGTCACCCATCTCCTCCCATTTGTGACTGTATGACCATAACTTTGTTGCTTGTATCCTTACGATCTTTATTGACTGTTTCCTAGTATGATTTGATTGCTTATTTGTACCCTATGACTATCATTAAGTGTTGTACCTTATGATTCTTGACGAATGTATCTTTTCTTTTTATATACACTGAGAGCATATGCACCAAGACAAATTCCTTGTGTGTCTAACTACACTGGCCAATAAAGAATTCATTCATTCACTCATTCATTCATCATTCATTCAGTGTGAGGCCCAAAGAACAACACGTTATCTGTCCCATAACTTTTTAAATGGGAACAGCTTAATATGAGACCTTATAGACTTCAATTTCATCAGGGATAGCTCTTTCTAGATTTTCTATGTATAATGGCTTTTAAAGCCATATATCTGTGCTGATTCTTTGTGACACAAAGCTATGTTTCACCACTTCTAAAAAAAATATACATCGGGGGTAAAAAAACAGCCAAGCCCCTTAATTTCTTTGTTTTTATGCTAAGTACCATTTGTGGCTTTTAATTTGCACTTTGCTGAATTTGATTTTTGTGTTTTCTTCATATTCCACAATTTCAAACATATATACAGAGCTTGCCCCTCTAAACAACAACAGAAAACCTTGAGCAGATGCTTTTGGAATCAGTATGCCAAAGAAAGGATAGAAATGAACAAAGCAATAGAATGACACATACATATCTTTTGATTCAAGAATTCCTTGCCAGGATCCAATGCTGTCTTTGTCTGTCCAAAGGAAAAACACCTGAAAAAACCTCAATTGGCCCATCCTTTCTAAAGGGCACTCACCACAAGACAACTGTAAAAATATTTAACATCAATCATTCAGTCAGATGAGAACAGGAGGGGGCAAAATATGTCAGGACAGGTAGAAGTTATACATTGAAACTGCTTTGAACCTCTATCTTAGAAACTAAAAAAAAAAGATTTCTGCTCTATATAGAAGCCACCATCCTATGGCATTGGGTGACAATTTGTCATGACTGTTAGCACAAAACCAAAATCATTTCCTTCTATCTGAAATACTATTGTTGTTGTCCAGTGGTGGGTTGATTGTGTGATTAAAAAAAAATTAAATGCCGTGTAGTGTTTTTTTTTTTTAATGTCCAGATTTTTTCATGTAACTTCTATTTTCTTAAAGTCTCTCCAAGTTTAATCAGCAAAATGGAAGATGGACAACATGGACAGTCAGGTACACATAGGGAAAAGGACTTTTTCAAGAAGGACAGACGCAGTGGTCCTTCTCCCTAGGGATCAGTAGACCCAAAGCATAAAAATATTGACATGATCTTACGTTGGGGAGAAATAGATCCCCAGAAAGATTCGAGGGTGGAAGGGCAGAAGGAAGGCATTTCATAAAATCAAAACAGCAGCATCTTCCGTGCAATCAAAGTCCTGTCAGACACGTAACGCATGATGACAAAGAGGGGGTTTTTACTTGCAGAACTGGGGGTAGAACAATAGAATTAGAAGGGACCTTGGAGGTCTTCTAGTTTAACCCACTCCCCATGACAAGAAGATCCAGTGTACCAGGAAGAAGGTGGATCCTCCTCGCTGACGGACCATAGATCGTGACTCTCTGCGGCTATGGTCCGCGCTCCTTCGTTGGAGAGCCCTGATTATTACGATTAGGGGCTGAAGCTGCCTTGGAGCGGCAGCGGAATAAGGGGAAGCTGCAAGCCAGGTTGAGGGGAGCCGCATCTCTCCTCCGGGCTTGGTCTTTTTCCCCCCGAAGACGACTGCAGTGGTGGTTTAAAATGGCCACCCCAAAGAGGAGGGCTCAGCTGGATTAAGATTTGTGCAGGAGGGAAGAAAGACGTGGATAACATCTGAACCGGGACAACTGGGCAATACAACTAAACAAAAGTATCCCAGGATTAAGGTAACATGGAATTTTTAAGAAAAGAAAAGTGAGCGGCAAAATTACAAGGGACAGGGGAAAAAAAGGAAACTATTTTTGACAGCTAAGCAGGGCTTCGAACCGGGAAAGGAAGAAGCTGGAAGTAAAGATTTAACTAAATTGGACTAAAATATTTTGGGAATAAACAAGCATAAAATAAAGCTGGACTTAAGATTGTCAAAAAGTAATAATAATCAAGTTTACAAATTGGAGACTGGACTGTGCTGGAATATTGAGGTTCGAAAAACCCTAAATAAAAAAATAGGGGGAAAAGGTGAAGACTTTGTATAATGGAGAGTGCCACCTTTTGACAAAAACTTGAGCTCAAACAAAAGGGAAAGCATCCTGTTTCTGAATGAACCTGTGTGGATATAACATTAAAGAAATATTGAAACAAAGTAAAAACCTTAGAAAGTGAAAGCAGAACCAGAATAAAGAAAAAAGCAAGGAAGGACTGACTGTGGGATTGATTGATGTTTTTGGTTTTGGAAGAACAAGAAGAAAGAGCTTCAGAGGAGGAGGAGTCGATTCAAGGAGAAGACATTTTAAACAGACAATTAATACAAAGAACACTACAAAGAAGTGGGGAAAGAAGGAAAGTTAAAAAGTTGAAATTTAAGAAGGCAATCAAAAGGGGGAATACCTGTGAAGTCAGGAAAGGCAGAAAGACCCAGCAGAAAAGGGGAAAGGAAGATATTAAGAAAGAGCGGGGTATAAACTGAACTGAGAAAAGATATGGCGAAAAGGGGGAGGAGAAGCAGTAAGAAACAGGTCCATGAAATAAAGAAATACGGAAATAGTAAAATGTTGAAAAGAAATTGTTTTTTCAGAGATAAAGGGGGATTCTGCAGGGTGACAAGAGGTAATAAGAATATTTCTGCAATTAAAAATATTTAGAAAATAGGGTAATATAGATACTGATAACTCTTATTAAAAATCAAGGGGGGGAAATATGCTGCGGAATCCAAATGAAAAGATGTAATGATTATTATTGTAACTTCTTAAAAATAATGGTTTATTGAGAATCAACATCAGGGAATAAAGGTATATTTTAATCATTGAGGTGTCACACTCAACACAGTAAAAGGGGGAAACCTATCCTTGTTTTTTTTTGTGTGTTAAAATTTGTATCCATCTAGAATTTATAAAAAGAATGTGTAATGGAAAGGGAATATGATAGACTAAAGAACCAACTAAATTAATAAGTTAATATAGACTATTAAAAGAAAGGAGAGACATTGGTAACTTTTAAAAAATTATTATCATCATCATTATTATTATTAGGCAAACACATATTGTTTATCTTTATTTTTAAAATAAATATTAAAGGATTATATTTGAAATAATTGAAATGAAACAAAAGGATGTTTCGATTGAGATTAATGAAAGAGGCTAGAATTAATGTGTTTGTTTCTCTCCTTACTGAAAATTTAGAATGGAAAAGGTAATAATAGAATTAAGTATGCATATATGAATGTATAATTGCTGTCATATTTGTATGTAAAGGTGATGACCCGGAAATATGTTGTCCACTAAAAAGAGATTTTTGTTTTTAATATGAAAAACTGAATAAAATTTGTTTTTGTTTTTTTTTTTAAAAGAAGAAGATCCAATGTACCATTCCAGACTTCCTTGCCTTTTGCGGGGGGTTGGGGACACTGCAGATGCCCCTGCATGATACAGGGGAAAGAAAATGAATTGCACTCCATGCTTTACCACTGTGACTTGCACTGAATTTGGGGAGGGAGGGTGCACTAAGGGAGACTCCGCCAATCTCATTGCACACATGGAGTACACCGACAATAAAAGTTTGAACTGAGTTTGAATTGAATACAGGTCGCCCTACCCACTTAGGTTTTGGCCCCGCCCACCTCGCATCCTGGCCCCTCCCGCCGCCCTTTGATCCTTCAAAGCCCGCGCAAGAGTTTCCGGGGCTTTTTGTAAAAGCGCCTTGCTCCGTCTCCCCGCCCAAAACACGCTTTCTTGCATTGCTTTCCTGTGGCACGACGGCACCTGTTTCTGAAGCAACCGGACGGGAAACCATTTGCTAAACGGGCCGAATAAACGGGTGAGAAAGGAAGAGTCGGTCGTGCCGGGAGAAACGTCTAAGTGCATTGATCGAGCCTACCTTTTGCTGCGCTTTTAGCTCCTGGGCTGATGGCCAAGTAAAGGAGAACCGGAAGTCTCTGTTAATAACGAACAAGAAAAGAGCTGCTGACGTAAGGAGGGAAAAGTTTGTTCTGGGTTGCCGCTGCAGCTGCGGGACGGATCAAAGAGGCAAAGCGTTTTGCAGCGCTGCCGAAGACTGGTGCCCCGGAGAACGCAGTGACGCAGCAGCTCCACGCTTTCTATGGGACTTTCAGCCCCACCACAATTCAGAGGCTTTCGTTTCTGAACTGTAACCGGGTTTATTCGGCTTTTCTGGGCTTCAAGTCATAGGCGGTTTTTTCTTCTTCAAAGGATCAGACGCTAAGGGGTGTAGCTTGAAATCCCTTTATAATGATTTATATCAATATGGGCCTTAAGTTTTTATGCATAAAGCAATGGGGATCATGTATGATTGAGCCTACGCGCATTGGTGCTTTTCTGAGTTTGACAGAAAACAAATTTTATCTGGGTTTTTTTTTAAAAAAAACATCTCTCTATTTCACTCGTAGATAAAATACCCCTCGGTTAAGTTGGCTTGGCTGTTTAAGAAGTTCTTAGGCGATATAATGTTGGTTTTTAAGGCAAGGCAAATCCAGTTTACTTCTGAAAGTTGGTTTTGCACAAAAGGTCTCTTTGTTTTAGGGGGATAGCTGTGTTTTTATTTTTCAAATAGCCTAAGAGGACAACCAAAGAACATTTATGACCACAGCAAGTCTATTTGGGGGACAAAAAACAACAGCCCTGAGTTAGGACACAGTCCGCTAAACACAATCTTCTCTGCAAGAATATTATGTTGATCCCTTAATAAAACCCAGTGACTGAAATCTTTAAACTGCAGATGCCGATGTTAAAGCCAATGAGGTTTATCTGAGATGTGATTATTGCTAATTGAAATCTGGAAAGCATATGAAACTCACGCTTTTAGGACTTTGTGGCAGCACTCAGTTCACTTGAATGGAGCTCATAAATCTTTCAGAAAATCATATCCATATTCAGGAAGTTGCTAATAACAGAAACTTCAAGATATGCTTTGTTGTAGGAAGAAGAACTTTAAGCATCTTTGGGTCTTTCATGTGACTAATCTGATTCTCTCTTTCCATCAGAAGATATTCCTTGTTAAAAAAGCACATTAAAAAGCCATTTCCTTTTTTAAATGGTTTATCTAAAAGATTATGAATGCTTTGAAAGTTTGGTACCAAAAAAACACAGTTATATTAAAACAATAAAAGGATTACATCAGGGAACTTCAGATATAAAAAGTCTACAGTGAGAACATTTGCCCAATCAAGAATGGCATTATGGAAATTGCTTGAGGAATTTACATTAACAGTTATGTACTGAGGGGGAAGTTGTGTTCAAAAGCTCCATATGTTAGGGAAAGTTGTGAATGAAAACAGATGCAGATTTTTCACAGTTTTTTTTTTTAACCAAATCATAGACTGGAATGTTTCTCTACCAGTGTAGATTATCAAACAGAAAAAAAAAAATTGTATCAATTTGCACTTCTACCTGTTATTGTGAATTTTCCTCCCCAAATCAAACAATATATTAACCCTTCGGCTTTCTGTTATTACTGTCTCGAGATCCAAAGTAAAAAAACTGAAGTAAAACCAGAGAATATGAAAGCTGCCACGGATGCAGCTTTCTGCAAATCTTTTGCCCTTAGGCATTAGTCATCAGTCCATTAATCCATTTAGTGCAGTAATGTTAGTTGGCTCTCCTGGTAGCACTTCTGTAGGGTGTGAAATGAAGCTCTCTCGTGGCTGAGGGTGGTGTTTTTGGAATGCAGAAAGAGAAGAATTAGAAGAATTAGAATTAGAAAAACTTTATTGTCATTGTACAAGTACAACGAAACTGGATACACCCCAGCAACTGTTCGCAATACAATAAAACCAAAGCACTTAAAAATGAAGATAAGAAAAATAGAGTACCCACGTCTCCATTTTCAATGAGAGAGTACAATATCTACAAATATACACAAAATATACATCCAACACTGACTGTAAGGCTTAGCCGAGTATAATACACAAGAGATGGATTGTACTGTAATATGTTGTTATACATCTGAATGGGGTATTGAGATTTCACATCTTTCACATCTTAATAAGATAGTGACTTTATGTTTATTTGCGGTTTGGATGGCCCAGGGAAAGAAACTATTTGTTAGTCTGGTGGTATGGGATTTTATTGACATAATTACCAGGGTGTGAGGGGTCTTCTATGATGGCCTTGATTCTGCTTTGGCAGCAGGACCTGGCTAAGGTTTCCAGGGTGGGCAGAGGGCAACCAATGATCTTTTGAGCTGTGTTTATCACCCTCTACAGTTTTCCTGTCCTCAACTGTGGAGCCTGCATACCACACACCCAGACAATATGTCAGAGTACTCTCCACAGAGGCTTTATAGAAAGCCAGCAACAGCTTCTTATCCAGATTGTTCTTCCTGAAAACCCACAGGAAGTGCAGCTGCTGCTGAGCCTTCTTCACTATGGCCTTGATATTAGGGGACCAGGAGATATCAGCTGAACTGAAAAGAAAAGCTATGAAAGCCATAAAAATATTAAAAGATATCGATGATGTTCATAGTTACTGATCGTTCAGTGAACATTGGTTCATTCTGGACTCCAAGATGGGAGATTTTCATTGTATGGGGACAAAAGTCTCTTGACCATTTATAGATAGGATTTGACATATATCCACAATTGAGCCCAAAATTTCTGTTGCTAAGTTAGTTTTGTCCCATTTTACAACTTTTCCTGCCACAGTTGTTAAGTGAATCACTACAGTTGTCAAGTTAATAAAACAGTTGTTAAGTGACTAGCTTCCCCATTGACTTTGCTTATCAAAAGGTCTCAAAAGGGCATCACAAGACCCTGGGACACTGCAACTGTCATAAATATGCACCAGTTGGCAAGCATCCGAGTTTTGATAACACGATGTTGCAACGGTCATAAGTGTGGAAAAAAGGTCACAAGTCACTTGTTTCAAAGCTTGCTGTAACTTCAAACGGTCACTAAATGTGTCAGCATTCCAAGTAACAAACTCCAACCCAAAAGACTCCAAGACAAACATCTCAAAATCCCATTTTATTAGAGTTGTATTGGTGCATCTGGGAAAACCGGAATCGCTCAGATTCGGGTTTTCCCTTGGTAATTGAAAATCAAAACCCCATCCCCTGCACCCATCAGTCCATCACATGGTCCAATCACCATCCGGAGACATTCGCCTAAGCATTCCTTTTCCGGGTGCAGGATGACATGTCCTTGACCTGAGAATAAGAACATTGTTATAACTAACTACTTCCACTCTATGAGATTCCCCCCTACCAATTTCCCCAGCACTGAAATGTGATAGTGTGGAAGCTTCTGAGGCTAATATGGCTTCCAAAGCTGACAAAACTACTTGTACTTTCTAATAATCCCACTAAAAATATCCAGCATGAATTAGTTTCTACATTTTTTTTTAAAGGTCTAATTTCAAGTCCTGCATTTTTGAAAAGCACCAGGATTCTTAGTATTTTATTTTAGAAAAGCATGTGAACACATTTATAAAATGAGTGCAAAAACAATGGTGCAAACATTAAAACAATAGTAACTCTATAACAGAGAGCCAATTTAATGTAGTGGTTAGAAACTGGGAGATTGTGAAGTCCAGTCCCATTTTGGGCACAAAATCTACAGGTGACCTTGGCTAGTCCCACTCTCTCAGCCCTATGACGAAGTCCAGAGCAAACCACTTGTGAAAAATTTGCCTGGAAAATTGCAAGAGTCCAAAAGGCAGACAGCCACAGGTATGCAACTTCATAACAAGTATTAAGAAAATGAAAAGTCAAGTTTGAGGTAGGGCTTAGCCAAAGTATGAGTATAATTAATTTATGTATCTATTTGTAAATCTGTATTTTGTCCAGAAATATTTTGCCCTCCTGTTCTTTATGAAAGTACTCTTAAGATTATCACTTTTGTGGAAACAAAATTGTTGGTAAAAGAAATGTTTCAAATCCATTTGAACATTTGGTATCGGACGTGGAAGAAAAAGCCTTGCAGGGTTTACCACAAGTTCTTTTTTTCCAGTAATTTTTCTCCACATTTTCAGTCCAGGGAGGTCCACCCTTAGCAACTTTTAAGACCTGTGGACTTCATCTCCCAGAATTCGCCAGCCAGCTATTCTGGAGTTGATGTCTACAGATCTTAAAGGGGTGTAGCAGTTGCCAAAGGGGTAGATACTCCTGCTTCAGACCAACTGAAGACTCCACCTTTTCCACTGCTATTTTGAAGAAGAATAGATGCTACAAGGGGTCATGAGGCAACTGAGTTCAGTATGTCTGGATAAAGCTTGAAGCAGTGTGCAGCAGCTGCCAAAAAAGCCAACACAGTTCTAGGCTGCATAAACAGAGGGATAGAATTATGATCATGTGAAGAGTTAATACCACTTTATAATGCCTTGGTAAGGCCACCCTTGGAATACTGCATCCAGTTTTGGTCGTCACGATGTAAAAAAGATGTTGACACTCTAGAAAGGGTGCAGAGGAGAGCAACAAAGATGATTAAGGGACTGGAGGCTAAACATGAAGAACGGTTGCGGGAACTGGGTATATGTCTAGTTTAATGAAAGGAAGGACTAGGGGTGATTTGATAGCAGTGTTCCAGTATCGCAGGGGCTGCCACAAAGAAGAGGGAGTCACACTAATCTCCAAAGCACCTGTAGGCAGGACAAGAAGCAATGGATGGAAACTAATAAAGGAGAGAAACAATTAAAATCAAATTAAAATTAATTAAAATCAAGGAGAAATTTCCTGAGTTCGAACAATTAATCAGTGGAAGAACTTTCCTCCAGAAGTTGTAAATGCTCCAACACTAGAAGTTTTTAAAAAGATGTTGGATAACCATTTGTCTGAAGTGGTGTAGGGTTTCCTGCCTAGGCAGGGGGTTATTCTATTCTAAGTCCAGGAAGATTCTGGAACCAGTCAATGCCTATGATTCAATAACTAGTAAACAGCAATCAAAAACATCCCTTGATGTCTTCCCAGAGGGTCAAGCTA